TGGCTTACTAGAAAAACTCCCAACAAATGTCCTGTTGATGTTAATGGGTCAATAGATATATCGGCTTATCTGACAAGGACCTAACAGGCACCTCTTGTGGGCAAGTTAATAACCTAAGCAGGGAAGAAAAGGGTTAATTTCATATTATGATCAACTCAGTTAACAAATCAAAGGAGAGAAAGTTATATTACCAGAAATGACCTCTTCTAGACCAAAAGAAGATGGCGGTCTTTCCCCCATTAAAGCCAATGATCCTTCTGGGTCATATCATTCAGAATATGGATGATTTAGGCCTTTTGCTTCTCATTTTTCCAGTTACCAGACAACTCTCAAGTCCTTCCACTAGGGAGAAAAACCTCCCATCAGTTCAATTTACCAGAGTAGTAGATCCATTAGACGAAAATAAGGAAAGAGCATGGTCCAGAGGAAAGAGGACTGGTCCTGTACTCAAGAGAGAGCTAGGGGGAAATGTCAACTCAGTCTGGTACTCCATAAAAATCACTTAACTTTCCTGGGCCTCCATGTCCCCCTCTGTCAAATGGGAATAGTAATATCCATTGTTTGTACCTCAGCGGGTGGGGTGGTTACCAAGATCAGATGAAATGATGTATAGAAAGTGTCGTGTAAGCCTGCTGATGATTCAGGAATGTCAGTGGTATTGCTGCTATTTTTGCTAGATGTTAACATAGAGTAAATGGGGCTGATCCTGGCAGGGCAGGGGGAAAAGAAGTTTGCCTCCAGTACTGGTTCATTGCAAGTAGGCTCACACAGGAAAGCTTTATGAATCCTGACACAAGAAAAATAAAGACTACAATTGAGGATGATCCCATAGGCACAGCACATCTCATGACCTGGGTTTGAGGATTACCTATGGGTTTTGAGTGTGCATACCATATAAAAGCTCCCATAAAAACAAAGAATTGAAGTTGAACTACAGTTCAAGACCTGAGCAGGGGCCCCTAAATATAGGACCCTTCCTCCACGGGTCTCTTGAATAACATTTGGGGAGATAAAGGTGGGTTAGGAGTTGAGACTTTTACAATGGAAGGAAAAAAAGAGAAAAAACTCAGTTTCACCAGCCCCCCAAGATTCCCCCTAGCATATTCATTCCATCTTTCCTGAATGCAAATTTCAGACAAGCAAATTTCATCTCTGGATTGGACCTTTCCTAAAATACAGAATTAGATATGAGAAATGCCTGCCAAGAGCAGTCTGAATCCATAGTGTCAGCTTTAAGGAGCGCAGCTGCACAGTTAAGTAATAAGGCTGGCCCCTATGAATTTGGGATTGTAAATGCCCCCGGGGCAGACTTTTGTCGTTTTTATTTTTATTTTTTTGGCACATTTCACTCATCATACAGCACCATGTACATTCACAGCACTACCTACATACTGAGAAATAAAGCCACGTCTCTGGGCCTGGGGCCAACCGGGGCCAGTCGGAAGGCGCAAGGCCAGAAGTTAACTTTTACCATGTGTGCAGGGGACTAACTGCCCTCAAATGCACTGCCGGGATCCTCTCACTGCTGGGACAAAACCAATCACAAACAGCAAGGGCAGTTCCGCGTGGCCCAGCTGGAGCCCGAGCCTCAACGTCAGTCCTTTGACAAATGCCGCCCAACGTCTTCACAGCTCGAAAACAATACTTTCACATCATCCTGGCAACAGATTCAGTCAATTCTCGTGCTAGTGGAGGAAAAGAAGGTGAGGCTGAGCTGACAGAACGGAGGATCCCGCAATCATTTGGAATTACTGGCAGAGGGCTTTCTCATCACTTATCTAACAATGAATTTTTTTTATCTTGTTCTGTTGTTCAGTCCTTCTCAGTCCTGTCTGACTCTTCCTGACCCCATTTGGGGCTCTCTTGACAAAGATACTGGAGTGGTTTGTCACATCCTTCTCCAGTGACTTTTTAGGTGACTTGCCCAGGGTCACACAGCTAGTAAGTGTTCAAGGTCAGATTTGAACTCAGGTCTTCCTGACTCCAGGCCCCACCCTGTATCCACTGCACCACCTAGCTGGCCTGACTTTTATTAACCTAACACTGAATTGAAGAGATAGTGGGCTATAACGGAGAGGGAATTGGATTTGGAGACAGGAAGACTTGGGTTCAAATTCCCCCCCTCCGCCCTGACAGAGAGTGGCTGTGTGACCTGGGATGCAAGTCACCATGTCTATGAGCCTAAGACCATACAGTAGATGGAGAGATGAAAGAGGCCTCCAGAGGCCATTGAGTCCAACCCTCTCATTTTACAAATGAGGTTAGTGAGGCGCAAGAAAGGCTAAGTTACTTGGCCAGGGTCAACACCTGGGGAGGAAATGTCAGAGGTAGAATTTGAACCCAGGGACTCTGGTCTTCGAGTCTGTGTTCTTTGCACTGCCCCATGCTTACTCCTTTACGGATTATCTACTGAGTCACAGATATTGGTGAAGGGCACTCCCATACCAAGAGTTCCTTATGTGGATAAAACCATAGTATCCTTTTCAAATATAGTCACCACGTGCCCTGAGCAAAGAAAGGTAAAGTGGAATGAGTGGAGTCAATACATGGGAGTCAATAAGACCTAAGTTCAAATCTAGCCTCAGATACTCAGTAGCTATGTGACCCTGAGCAAGTCATTAATCACCTCTCAGCCTCAGTTTCCTTATCTATAAAAAGGGAATAATCATAGCACCTCCCAGGATTGTTTTGAGGCTAAAATGAGATATTTGTAAAGTGCTTTTGGAATATTTAAGTCAAAAACAAGTATTATGGTTGTTATGTTATTTTTGCTATTACTGACCTATTACCTAGGCCGTGTAGTAAAACGGGGAGTGGGGGGGAAGGGGCACATGCAGCCTTCCAGGTCCTCGGGTGCGGCCTTTTGACTGAGTCCAAGTTTTACAGAACAAATCCTTTTATTATGAGGATTTGTTCTGTGAAGTTTGGATTCAGTCAAAGGGCTGCACTTGAGAATCTAGAAGGCCACATGTGACCTGGAGGCTGCAGGTTCACCACCCCTGATAGATAGGAAGATCTCAATTCCAGGCCCAGCACTGCTAATTCACTAAAGTAACTTCTCTGTGCCTCAGTTTTCCCTTCTATAAAATGAGGTGGTTAGAAAAAAATACTCTCTTAAGTTCTTTGTAGCTTACAACTATGGTTTAACAAGGCAGGGAGGCATTATCTCTACAATCTGATCATACTGAAGCCTTCTGTGTTGTTTGTGGTAGGGGCCGGGGGTTGTTTTCATTTAACATCCGTCACTTCCTTCACAATGAACCCTCCCTGGCCACAATGAAAAAGTTAAGTAAAACTGACCAAGGAAGGCACCACATGTGAGAGCAATGCAACATAGCACACCCATAGGCCACCACCTCTCTACCAAGTGGAGGCTTTTACATTCTGCTACATTCACCAAATCTCCTCATGGCATTTAAAAGCACCATTTCCTAGGTCTTTATCACCACTAAAAGGCACCAGGCCTGAGTTGCTACAAGATTCCATTCCATCCAGGGGCTGGTACCAACACTCAATCAACAGATTCAATTTAATCCAATTTAACAAACTTTTGCTGTCAACAGAGCCATAACAAATGCAACTCCTAGCTAGTGGGCATCATGGACATCAGGCAACCATTACAAACCTCACACCAGGTGCTCAAAAAATCTTTAAGCTCTCAAAGCTTAAAACTGAACTAAGACTTTTGGAACACCCTGTATAATCAGATTTCCAAGATAAAGGCAGAACCAGAAATAAATAAGAAATCATTGGGAAAATTATACTCATGGGGTCCTCAATGGTGGGGGATTAAGGAAAAGCAATAAATCCAAGACCTTGGGCGGAAAAGGGGAGACAGAACTATTCTTAAAAAGCTATGCTTCATTTGGAAATTCATTGCTAACATTTTTTGTTTCACTCCAAATTTCGTGTAAGGCAATAAGATTAAAGAAAAACATGAATCGAAATTCCTTTTCACAGAATGAGGTGGAACTGAAGCCTTCACTTGAAAAAGAGTTCCCACCCCCCTCATCCCCTCCACCTCCCCAAGACTGCTCTTGGCAATCTATACCAAAAATAAATATTGCAAAATAAATGAAGAAAAGAGAAAAACAGCAGAGATTTCCACTCTACTGTGGGATACTTCATAGGGTCAGGGATTGGGGGATGGAAGGGATCTCCAAGGTCATCTGGTCTAACGAACACATTCTAAAATTGAAGGAATTGGAGCACAAGATTATGTAACTTTTCCAATATCATAGAGAAAATAAGGGGCAGAGACTGGATTTGCACCCAGGTCTCCTGATTTCAAATCAAGTCCTCTTTGCACTGTCCCACAGCCTCCTGTGTAGACACTGGATGAAAATACATCCTTTCCCTACCCCAGCCCCGAACACCATCTATCACAGACTACGAGGAGATTACAAGGCAGAAAAACAGATGACCAGGAGGAAAATGCCAGACGTTGCCAATCCCCCTTTGAATGATGAAGGGTAAGAAACACACCCAGAAAGGAAAATCAGAGTAAATTAGTTCTTTAGGCCTATATCCCCCTGGGGAAGAGAAAGCTTTCTTAAGACTCCATGACTCTTAAATCATATCTTTGCATTCTGTGATTCTTAAGAAGAAAACATATGGAGGACAGAGCAGAAGGTCATATATTTAAATGAGCCATATCAATTGGCAGACAATACCTAAAAATTCTCACCTCTGGTTAGGCAGATTTGAAACTCTAAGATACCACAGTCATTTGCCATCCAGAGATTCCATTAAAATAGTAGTCTATAAAAATGTAATTGTTGCATGTGATGAAAATTATGGGGGAAATGTAGCATACTCCCTCAAATTACTGTAATCCCAAATAAACAAAGGTCTTCCAATGTATGAACTTGCTTCCTGGTAAAAGGGGAGAAACCAGTGTTATGTAATTAAAGGAAGGTGATAGTCCAACTACAAAATTAGTCATTTCTATGCCTCTGCTCATCAAAATCAGCAATCTTCCCCTGAATAGAAAGACATACCTTTCTTAGATTTCGCTCCAATTTTTAGCTTTGATGGCCAAGCAATCTGTGTGTTTGTCTCTTCCATGATCTGTGAAAAGAAAATAAATCTCAATTGAATAAAGTACTAAAAAGGTAATGATAATAATAATAATATAGCATATCTATAGAGCTTTAAGGTTTTCAAAGTCCTTTACAAACAGTATCTCATTTTATTCTCATAGAAATCCTAGAAGGTAGTAAGTGCTATTATTATCACCATTTCAGAGATGAGGAAATTGAGAAAGAAGTTAAGTGACTTGCCCAGGATCATATAGCTAGTGTCTGAGACCATTTTAACTCAGGTCTTGGATCTCCAGGTCTAGTAATCTATCTACCATACCACCTAGACACTTATATTTTGAGATAAGGAGTTTTTTTTTTTCAGTTTAAATATCTGACTTTATGATGACCCAAAATGAACTAATCTTTTTTGAAACAATCTAATAAACCTATTTGGAGAAGAAGAAGGAAAAAAAATCACCAGCAGATTTGTTATTCCAAGATTTTGACACCATTACAAGCATCTGTGGGCCTATCTCTACTTCCACTCAACTCCTCAAGGCACAGGAGGATTTCAACCCAGAGACAGCCGCCCTGCAAATACGTGAACAAATAATGATCCTGAGGGGATTCCAGAGCCTTTGGAGATTTTGATATTGAATCAACATCTCCTCTACATTTGCCAAAAGATTGCAACATCCTTTACCATAATACATGTAAAGTCAAATTACACCCACTAGTCCATACTAAGAATATTTTTTTTCTTCATCTCGGCGGGGGGTGGGGGGGGGAGTGGTGGACTGTTCTGGACACATTTGTATTTCATTAAGATTGAGGCAAAGCATCCAACAAGATGTCGGCCGTGAATCTGCTTGCTCGCTCTCTCTCTCTCTCTCTCTCTCTCTCTCTCTCTCTCTCTCTCTCTC